ATTAAAACATTCCATTCCAGTGCAGTAACAGCAGTTAACATGGATTTAGCATGTCAGAACCACTTCAAACACCTGTATAATAAAATAATAATTGAAGCACTTGATAGCTTTTTGTAGCATTTGGTTGCACAGCCTCGTACCTACTCCCTATAATGACTGAATGTAAAGAATATTAAGCAGTCTTAAATCATTTTCTTTCTCTAAAATCCATTTCATGTTCTTATTCAAATGTTGGCAAATTACAAAACATTCCTTTTATAAAAATGTAAATCAGAATTCTGCTCTAAAATATTTTGAGCCAAGGATATGAGTAAATCTTGCATACCTAACTAATCAATAATTATTCAAAATTGGATAAGTCAGAAAAGATAAGATATACCAACATCTGGTTTAGAAATGAGTACAATAACTTGGTTTAGAAATGAGTGCAATAACTTACAATATCTATGAAAGTAACCTAGATTTGATTTTTCTATCTGTCATTATATGTAAATACATTACCAAAAAGTCTTATAGGCAGGGGAGTTGGGGGGCGGTTTCAGGAGTTTGAAGAAAGAGCCCTTTTGGCTGAGAAGACACCCACTGTAAATCAAAATTTGATCCAAATCCGATGCCAATTCTCATTTCACTGTAAACATTTCTACTTTTTTATCATGCCCCCCCTCCCCTTGCAGTAACTGGACACAGAGCTGCTCAATGTAACTAAATGATCTGATGAGGTACTACTTCCTCATGGGGTAGGTTGCACAAAAGAACCTAAGACTGAATTTGGTCTCAAAATTTGGTCTATTTCAATCAGGATAAGTCTTCTAAAAGAGTAATTATTGGTCTAAAACAGAAGCCATTTAATTCATGTTATCAAATAGGCACGTACAATATTTCACATAAATAGGTCACTTCTGATTTATATTGGGACAAAGAAGACTTAGGTTGGGTTCCCATACCCAGATCGATCTAACAGGATCGATCTATCTCCAAGGGGTTTCTCTCTAAATTGCTTTCAGCTTAAGCGGCTTAGATGTCTGGCATGCCTACTGAACTGCTAAACCATAATTAACTACCCCCTAGCAGCTTCAGTAGGCGTGGCAGACATGTAAGCCACTTAAGTTGATTGCAATATAGCAAGATTCCCCTTGGAGATAAATCGATTCACAGTTAGTGCCATAAGTTCTGGGAATAGTCCCTTACAGTTTTGTCTTCAAGCTTGGACCAATTTCCATCTGAAGTTATTTTGTGGAACAGGTCCCACATGGATTCCTTTCCTAATCATGAGATCAAATTAAGTGTAGGAAGACAATGAAAATGTATTACTACCAATTTTTTCCATTCCTCAGAAAATTGCCTGTTAATATGATAATCATATTTTCACAATTTTTGTTATTATATCATTCATTAATTTGCTTCATTTCATAGAAATGAATGACATTTAATGAGCCCATATGACTAAAATGAAAAAAATAACTTATTATCTGCCTATACTTGTTGGTATGAATTCTTGCATTTATCACAAAAGGTCACAAAAAGATTTTAACTTATCAGTAAAACAGGCAAATATACAGACACATTTCAGTAAATTATAACTTTTGTAAAAATAATCTGATCATGTGAAAATAACCTGCCTCTTTAACTAAAAGAGTCGCTCAGCAAATTTGAAGTAAAACACAAATAGTTTGGCAGTCATAGGGTGAACAACAAATGTGTCAGATGGCACTGGGGATGGCACCTGCAACGACATGGACAGACCCAATGATCAGAATATATATATATATATATATATATATATATATATATATATATATATATATATATTCACACACACACACACACACACAGGCACATATGGTGTCTGTACATGAAAACCAATCAATGAAAAATTAGACCATCTTAATAGGGTAAAATATTGGTCAAATTTAAACTGCATTAACATTTATTTCATGGGAGGGGGGGTTTAAAATCCATTAATAATAATGTTAATCTTTTGGTTTGTTATTAGGCCAATTAAAGTGTTAATTCTGAATCATTACAAAGTAAAATGAAGTACACATTAAATATCAGTATTTTCTATTGATTTAGGCTCAAACCAGCAAGCTAAAGCTAATAAAAAAGCAACAAATCCCTGCCTTTTAAAAAAGTACCATTCATTTTATAAACTGCTTCTTCAGTTATCAAGAGAACTGTCTAACAGGACTAAAGGTGTCAACTTTGAAGATTTATTAAAGCTTGGTCCAGCTTTCATATTCATACATTCATATTTGCATATCTTCATCTCCCTACATAGATTTATCCAAATATTATGGCTCTGTTTTTTGGTCAAGTTGAAAGACTGGGGGTTATTTTTATACATGATAATCGTCATCTGTTCATAAAGAGGTCACGTAATTGATTGCAGTATTCCGTGTCTATGACTTTCTTTCTTTGTGGAAGAGCAGTCCAAAATTGGCACAACTGACAGCTTTGAGATATATCTTGTGCCAAGCCAGGTCTCCTCACCTGTATCTTTTGACACAAATCCTAGGCTAATTTGAAACAATTTTCTGAAACTTTGCCTGAAGACCATCATAAATCTATTGAAAGGTACTTTTAAGATATAAAATGCCAGCTAGAAGTGACTTTGGCTGGAGAGTGACATCCCTAGCCCTAGTTTCGGAACCAAGACGGGCCACCTTACTCCCTCATATTCAAAATTTGATACATGCAGTTGACTTGTCGCCTTTCAACTACAGTAGTATTTGACCAAAGTTTACCATGCCAATCATATATTTGCTGCCAATTGTCAACAAAAGGTTGGCAGAAATCAGACCTAATCTAAGGATAAGATGAATCTTGTCATCCTATGCACGTAGATAATCTGCACAGCACCATGGATCTCAGCAGACAACCCAATCAATATTATTAATACTAATTATTCATGAGTCTAAAACTTAACAGTAGATCACTATATCTTTTACTTAGTAACTCACCAAACCTTCTCATGGATTACCTCTTAAATGTTGTGTTACAACATGAAATGATGGGGAGTAAGGTTTTCATGCTGGAAGCTCCATTCAAGAACAGACAATTACATAACTGTTAATATCTGAATTGCTTTTTAGGTTCAAACTGGCATAAGTATAAATCTACCGTACTGAAAGTAGTTTGAAACCACAAGTTTGTGTAATTTTCCAAAAGCATAAATCAGTTTTGATGATGGATACATGTTCATGTGAGTCTAAGTAGGATATAACATTACACTCACAGTAGCTAAGCCAGGGATGTAACAGGCTGTAAAATGTTTTACGTAATGTTACAGTCAGCACTTTGTCACTGACTGAGTCCAGCTGTGAGGAGACACACTAGATTACATATGCCATCCCCACCATCTCAAATTTCATATCAGGGCTAGAAAACAGTCCAATGAGCTGGACCTGTCTATTTCTGCTGACAATTTTCCATATTATCTAATCTCCAAAACTAAAAAGCAACAAGTAAACTGGAAAAGTGGAATTATAATTTATATGACACAGACATGAAAACTATACATGATACTTACAGGTTTGATGGCACTCTGAAATAGTTTTTGCATCCAGGGGAAAGTGGAACAGGTAAACAGGTTTTCCAATCAGATCTTCTCTTTCATATCCCAGCAGCTGCGTGACTCTGAAATACCAAAAAAGCACAAGAATTGTCAAAAATGTACTTTATATTGACCAATGGTTATGTAGAAGTTTCTCTGGTATATCTAACTTAACAAGTGCACCATGCAAGAGTTCAAACATTCACTGTTTTGGAATATAACCAGTTTGAGTCCCTGCTATGGCATCCAGGCCATAAATCCTAAACGCAGGAAATAAAAATAGTTTACACAATGCTACGTATAAAACTTATGACAACAAAGGAAATGGCACTAAAGTCGCTGAATGGTTCTGGAACACAAGTTAAAATGCACAGCATGTGTTAGATATATCCAATAATGAAATGACACCATTACGATGGCAAACCTTAATACCGATTTGACTTCTCCACTAAAAAAAGGAACAATTTTAGCAATCATCCAATAGATACCACATTAACTCTAGACATAAAACCAGTGGCTAACTGACTTATACAGATACAACCAAAAAAAGCATCCTATTATACCATATATCCTATGAATAAATGACACAGTAGAGACTATCCAGTACTGTACACCATACAGATCAATACCCAATACATCACTGTGTCAGATGACTATCATGGCAGTCCACAATGCATTAAAATCCTGCAGAATTTCCTTTCCACAATTATAGACAGCTATAATATAAATGCCTTCATTCTTTTCACTTACAAAGGAGTGAATTGCAATATGTCAATTGTTTTTTCACCACAATGGAGCAAGATCAATTGAGTGTTATTTTTATACTGATTCACCTTTGGAAACTCATCAGTGGATCTCACTGACAGGCTGAAATTAGTGGTATGCTCGCTAAAAAAGCAATCTTAACACGACGGTGTTAGCTGATATTAATGAATGTTCATATGAGAAGTGATATTAAGGATGAAATCCATATTAACAAGTGTTAATTAAAGTGCACTAGCAAACTATGGTGAAAATTGAGAGTTGCAATATATGGGATATCCATTCTTTTTCTACTGCCTTACAATGCAGGAGAAAAGGGATTGTGTAAAACTGGAATCTTTGTTTATAAAAATTATAAACCAAAAACAAATAACCAATGTTTGCTATTGTGTTTTTATATGTCACCTAGCTAAGTTGATTAAATATATTAATAATCTCTACTTGAAACACAGGGTAAATATACAGACCAGTTAAATACACAAATAAATATCAGAACACTCCATCTTGCCTCCAGTTTCAATAACTGATGTGTAACCCTAAAGATCATAAGTTTTGTTTCATCAATAATGTCGTACTTCTAATATGAGTGCTGTATAGTGAAAATAAACTGAACTGTGAAAAAATTTCAAAATATTTCTGCAGATGATTTTTTGTAAAGAAAGCACAAGGTTAAAAGAATATTCTTTTATTCATTCAACTCCATGGCAGAGATGGTGTGCTTGCCCTCTTTCCCCTTGTGTGTCATCTTCTGCAAGGGGGAGGACCTAATCTCTTTATATTTTCTCTTTGCCAAAGAAGTAACAGAAATAGCTAAATTATGAGAATATTCTTCTACATCCATAAAACAGCACTGAACCTATTCCAATATTGACTTACCCAATTTTACCATGGTATCTCACTGAACTTCTACAAAATATGTTAATAAGGTTATATATAACAGCAACTTTGTCTATGTTCACATAATTCAATCGGAAGAATGAAGACAGCAATTCAATTATATCACCATTTTTACATAGGGGAGCGATTTGACTTCTCCACTAAAAAAAGGAACAATTTTAACAATCATCCAATAGATACTACATAAACATAAACTGGATTCTCTGCTATGCCTTAGGTTTTAGAAAACTTGTGTTTTCCACGAAATATATATTCTTTTAATGTGCAAGGTACATGAAGTCCACCTTTGGATTAAAAAAAAAACAAAAACAAATCATGAATGCTTCACTACCTTATTCAGGTAGAAAAGGTCTTACACTTCATCCAACTGGGCTCTACTTGAAACATGATCCTGGCACAGTAGCTGAAGACCATCTTACACCCTCAACTTTGAATTAACCAAGAAGACTTACCTTCACTACCCAATGCAGACACCTGGATCAGGGTGCACCCAAACAACACAAAAAGGGCTTNCACCCAAACAACACAAAAAGGGCTCCCCCTTCTACACAATCATATACAGAGATTTCTCAATAATCGGATTCTCTACCAAAACACTCCTCCATCCAGACACCCACATATACTCTGTGTTTGATCCTATTACTTAAGAGCAGAATTGATGGATGCTGCCAGTAAATCAGGAAAGGCCAGCTAACATTTGAAGTCAGCCAGCTAGGCCAAGGTACAACTGTGCTAATCAATATTTGGGGGATGCATGAAGGGAATACACTGTAGAAGACTGCATGTTGTAAAACATTACAAGTGTTTGTGATGACTTGTAAAAATAAGTCTTTATTTTAATAAAACCCTGACCTCTTGTTTTCATGCAAGTTTTTGACAGTCTGTGATAATATAGAAGGGTCTGCTTCTCTAATTGCCATATGCATTGTATTTAATAATCATACTGAAACTTCACTGAAAAAAAATTTCTGGTTTTACAAAATATTCCAGTAGCTGATTTATCATCCAGAATGCAAGGGGGGGGGGGGGGGAGAGAGATAGGAGGGGGTGGCTCCAAAATCCCACTTTCATTGCTAACTTGAGAGGCACTGGATATATTCCACTAATATCATGATTGTCTTCAGATTCTGGCTTCATTATATTTTGCATATCTGCATTAAAATCTCTCTCTCTCACTCTCTCTCTCTCTTTCTCCGTGTGTGTGTGTGTGTGTGTGTGTGTGTGTGTGTGTGTGTGTGTGTGTGTGTGTAAAGTTGTATAGACAGGCAGTTTTAGTCATTTTGGTGATTTGTCATAAATATAAAACTCTTAAATTTATTTGCCTTTTTCACTACTCACTCAACTGGATAATGTACATTGTCCAACAAGGAAAGCTCACCTTTTTCACTTTAAACTTCTACATTAAGTCTTTGGAGCCCAAAAAATTACAAGAAATTCATCTTCATTCACTAAGTGGTAAAATTATCTCGTTAAAACAGGTCAAAACAGGATTTGAAGAAAAAAATAGGTCACATTAGGTCACTGGTACATGCATCCTTATTTGTAGAGTCTGTCTGGAAGTGGCCGCTGAATGACCTCAGTGCTCCACAATTTGTATCATACCTTCTCTACAAAGCAGGCGTTAATTCACAATCTGGTTGTAATTTATTTCTAGACATGCCTCACCATTGCAGGCAGGAACAAAACAAGTGGTCTGAACAAAAAAGATCAAACAGGCTTTTATGCAGACCCATTTAGCCATAAACAAAGGTACGAATATAACCTAAGCATTGACCATAATGCCTGCTAGGTTAAAAATATATACAGAGAGAGAGAGACTGAGAGAGTCTAAAGATCCAACCATTCATCTACGTACTGCTGCAGCACCTATAACCAAGTCCTACATGTACTTATATCTAATTGCAGTGTAATCTTAGACACCATAATGGCTCTATTTCTGGCTGACTGAACTGATGTGTTTACAATACTAATCCAATGCCATTACCAATCAATCTTAATCAGATTTGCAATCAGCTGATAGAGTGTAGTCCTCATATGCTCATACTTTACGCAGACACCTATGCATGCATGAAAAATACAATATATCACCTTCCTAAAATGCCTTTACGCCTTACATATCCTATGCTCATTAATACACACACGCACACACTATATAAACACGCATATATGTATATATAGAAACTTAGATTTATCATTTAAGCGTTTATCTACCTGTGGCGTGGGGTTCCAATCCCACCACCCTATAAGCTGTAGATTTGTTCAACTCCAGGTCACGCTGCTATCTCCAAATATAGGACACAAACATGGTCACATGACCAGAAGTTGGCTAAGCATAACTCAGGGTTATACATATACCACTGGGACAGAATACAGTGACTGGTGTTATTTTTTTTCTATTGAAGAAATGGAATATTTATCATACTTGTTTCATTATAGAAAATGGTACAATATCATTCTATTACAGAAACAAATTTTTTTTCTATCAAAGAAATTGAATATTTATCATATATGTTTTTTATTAAAGAAGTTGGCTAAGCATAACTCAGGGTTATATATATACCACTGGGACAGAATACAGTGACTGGTGTAGTTTTTTTTTTTTTTTTTCTATCGAAGAAATGGAATATTTATCATACTTGTTTTATTTTTAAAACATGATATTATATCATTCTATTAAAGAAATGATGTGGTGAATGTTTTTACTTAAGAAATGATGAAATATTTTATGTTACCTAATTTGATATGCAGTGCAAATTAAAGCTGCGATGAACTTACATTTACATTAAAGTGATTATTGATTGAAATATTGTTTGAATATGAAGCTGGGTGAAAACAACTTTTAATTCTTACTGTACTTTTGGTACTGTTACAGTAAACAATGTATTGCTTGTTAAGTCATATGTGTATAGTCATTGTAAAGATGCACTTGTAAATAAATAAATAAATGAAATGTTTAATATGCCTTGATCTCATTACTAAAATGTTGCTGCACTAACACTTTTATTTTAAAATAAATTGGCTGTTTTTCAAATACCAGTGTATTGTGAAACAATCATGACCATAATCCCCTTTTCTGTTTTTCAAATATTGTCATTTTCTGTACACCTTTCATGTACAAAATAACTTTTCACTAGTCTCCCTTCTGTTGATCTTACATCATAATTTGTGCTACATATACTGCTATAGGAAATGCCATGTTGAAACAATACTACATTGCATCCTGTCAAAAGGCTAAGCTCTACTGTTCAAGCTTGAAAAAGTGAAAGTAAAAAGTAATATTTACATACATGCTGTACACCATATTATTTATAAAATTTGCTTGTAGTCCAGTGTCATCTCACTATGCATACATCTGTCAAGTTGTACTTTTTCACCAGTGTATGCTGATACATAAGTTTAATTTTTATACTTACTTTACCTCTTAAATCATGCATCAATGGCTTCATGTTTGTGACATTTCAAAACTAATACAATGACTAGTAATATGACAAATCTGTTGTAACTATGAGTGTTATACATATAGAAGTGAATAAAACTTTCTTGTACATTCAGAAAGACAATGTTATTCACTTTCTTGTATACAGAAAGACAATATAAGTCAATTTTGATATTCTAGTTTCAGTTGCTATTTCAGTTACCCTAGGCTGATGGAAGCAAATATATTCATTTTGCTAAGAAAGACTGAGATAATTTTGGGAAAAGACATTGAAAAATTGAAAAATATTTCACAATTGTCACCAAATTCACACTGATGTAGAGAAAAATCATATTAAAAAATTAAAATATTTGACAGGGCTATGGTAGGTTCCTTTAACTGCATACAATGTGCATTAGTCCTTTATACATTAGTATCCAAAAAAATTAAAAAGTTGAGAAATTAATGATCTGTAAGCTCATTTTTCAAGTTTCATTCCTAGAGTGGCTAAAAAACTATAAACTTTAAATGAAAAAAAAAACAGGTATACAGACCATAATTCTGTGAATGGTTTGGATATGGTATACCTTGGTAATTAAGTTAACAGTGTTGAAAATTAACAGGAAAATAAAATTGCTATATCAAGGTCTCTTGCTCACTGTCGGGCTTTAAATAAACACAGTTACATCTTACCTTGGATCTACATCTACGTATTTGAGATCAAGACTGTGATGAGATGAGAAAGCATTTCCTTGAGTCCGGATTTCCATCATTGGATCTCCATATATTGGACGGCACATGCATATTAATCCAGCTGGTTTCAAGGAATTCTTAATTTTCAAGCGGCCTGTCCACTGTACCATCTGAAGGTAAATAAGCAAATTATATTTATGTTAACTTATTTATGTGTGCAATAAAATATATTTACTACCATATGGAAAAATTGAGACATTTAATTTCTGAAATTATTTTTATGAGGATTTACGACGTGTATGATATCAAACTGGTGTAAAAGCCATAGACATGCATGCAAGTGAGGTCATGGACATTAAACTATCTTCAACACAATGAGGCAAGTAATGTGCTTGTACAGTAACGATGATTTGATTACAGTTTCCCCTCGTCTTTTTCTGCTCACAATATTATTCAATGACATGTAAAAATTAACAAATCAAATGATTTTTCTTTAAATGTGTGTGTCCTTATGTAAGTATGTGTGAGTGTACATGTAAAATGGAAAGCCTGGTGTATTATTGCAAACAGGAATAGCAATAATATTGTCCTTAGATCCCAAATTTATTTCAAATCTAACCATAAGTAGTCATTATCCTGGTAACTCGAACAATTCCTTACAAGAAAACGATCTTTGACACTGACATTTATCTGAACAACAATTTCCTATAAATGCAATGAACCAAAAAACAGCCCACCTTTGATGAATCTTCAATATATTTCCAATCAATAATTTCCAAGAAGTCAATAATATAACAATTTAATAACCTTCCTCGGTAACTATCCAACGTGAAAGATTGCAATTTAGGTAAATAAGAGACTGGTTAAACTAATCAAAGCAGCAGCTACTCACCAGTTGACCTCTTGACTTGCTATTCTTTTCCTTATCTATTATTTGGCAGTTCATATGTACACAGAATTCTCGGTTTTGGCAGTATGTTGTGATAGTTGTGCCTTGAAGAAAATTGCCACAAAAATGCATTAAGCATAACTGAAAATTGTGAAATTATTCTGAAAAGCATATGCCACAATATCAGAATTTTCAATTATGCTGTATCATGCTAAATATGGTATTTCTTCTTCAAGATATCAGTCAGACTTTCATTTAATATAACAAAGTAGCAAAGGGAAATGATAGATCAATTGCGATGAGAACACCATTGTGTTTTTAATTCTATTAGTGGAGTCTGGTTGTGACAAACAGCTGGACAATATGAACATTTACAATATTCTTTCCGCTATGCCTTGGATTTCTCCCCTAAAGTAATAAATAAAACTGATCAAAGCACATAACTAGCTTAATATTAAAAACATCAAAATAATTTTTCAATATTATAATCATACCATTGTTTTCGGTCTTTTTGTATGGCTTCACAATAAATTGTTTCCTCAGCTCTCTATGGTCTTGTTCCAACACAAACTCAAAAATATGTTTCCCTATCATTGCTGTCTGTAAGGGAGAATAAAACATTTAATAGAAGTTTTAATATTATTTTTTATTCATTGCCTCTATCTACTAAGGTTTATCACTTACAAAACCGAGCTTCATAACCATACATCCTTACATACAGGTTTTTATAATGGCATGCGAAGCTTGATTACCTAAACCCAATACAAGCTGAAATCTTATTCACTAAAGACCCAATAATGGCAAATATCAAATAACACTCCTACCAAGGAATCATTCTCTGTGACCATGCACCTATCTGTTACTGACAGTTATATCTATTTTTTCTGCCAACACAAATCTATGAAAATGCACTGATTGACACTGAATCAATGATCACATTTTCCTACCTTGAAGTCTTTTGAGACTGAAACTGCATCCCTTATTAATCTCAACATTAATGATTTACTTGGCTGAATCCTTCTCACTGCTAAATTTGTTTTATTGATACCAACCAAATATGGCTTATGAAGGAGAAATGCTTGCTACTTAAACAATCAGCAAAAGAACATGCTGCCTGTATTCTCTCCAAAACATTATATTAATAATAACACATAATAAGAATGACTTTATAATAAGCAAAACATTTAAACTTTTTAATTTTTTTTATAGAAATCATATATTTTAAAAAGATTACATTTCTGTGTCATGCAAGCTAGTCTGGGTTCATTTGGTATATTTGGTTCATAAAATCGTGAAGTGTCATGACAATACATGTACCTGTTTGAAACCCAGATAATCCTCCACCTGTTCAGACACGTAAGCTATCTGCCCATTCTTGTGCACATAAATCAAGAAAGAGTCAAAACATTTCAACAGCTCATGTCCTTGCAGCATTCTGGAGGCAAGGTCATTGGACTGCTCTGAAAAATAGATATGACATTAACAGAATGAATTTCCGTCTATATTCATTAAGAGAGATAAATATCATACTTTCAATAACATGTAAAATCTGTTTTAAGTGAGTGATGAAAAACTTGCTGCAGGAATATAATCCTGGAAATTTTTATTTTCATTTGAGAAAACTTAAAGTACAACATCTACCAAACTATAACAGAAATTAAAAATGGAAACAAGATGTGATTTTTCTTTTTTAATTATTGCACTTAAATCATGTTTTACAATGCAAAAAGGTTAGGTGTGTGTTTGTGTGTGTGTGTTTGGTGGGACATACTCTCTGGTTATTTCTCATATGTTAAAAAACTATATAAATGTTTGTGGTTTGGTTACCATACATGTGTATGGCTTGCCTTAACCTCATGTAGTTAAAATGAGGTCCAGACAGGTCATTCAAGTGTATGACCCGTCTTAACCTCATTTTAACCACATGAATATCGTAAAAATGGACCCTTTCACCCTTAAGGACATACAGCATATAAATCATAAGCCAAAACCAGGCTACTGGTTTTTATAATATCATCAAATAATGTTCATGGACTTTACTTGCCTTTTGATAAAGTATGTTTATTTTGTTGATGACATTATGTGTTATTTTTAAAGTTTCTTGACTTTCTTTATTACCTGGGCTCATAACATAAAAATTCTAAGGGCTAACAGAGGCTGTGCATGAGTTCTACAGTGGGATATGACTGATTTTTTTTTCACAATCATGGTTTAGATTTTATCCGAAATAAAATTCAATAACACCAATTTTCATTATTAATATTATTATATTATATATATTAATTATATATTATATAAATATAATATTAATGACCCTGAACATCTTATCGAAAATCAGTTGCACCCAATTGTTTTTCATACCTTTGAAAATAACTGGGAAAATGTGGTGATTTTATCTGCAGCAGTTATAAAGTTATCCAACCTAATTGCTATCTTAGTCTCTATACCCAATAATTAACCTAATTAGTATTATGTGCTTCCAGGCACTTCAACAGCTAAAAATGACACCTACAACAATGCCACCAGTACCTGTTATCTATATTTTGATCAGCTTAGTCCCTTTGTATTAAGTAATAAGTAACCAAATAACATTGCCTACATGAGCACAAATATTCGATTTTGTGTATCATTCTGCACTTCAAAGCAAACTACCCTATATTTCAGAGTACATGTCCTTAATTTAATTCCTTTTGAACATTTTTTTAAATTAAATTTAAAGTATCACAAAGCATATACCAAAAATTAAGAAATGTTAATTTTTTATCAATTTTTTTTTTAATTCTTTTCAAATACACTACTTAAAGCTGGATTCAATTATAAACAAAACACATCATTTTAAAGGTTCAGCAGATTTTACACCAATGCATTTTTTATTACTGTCTTATTCAATTCACCTACCAGATGTGCTACACGTATTTCCATTGGCATCTAGACAAGCACTCTCTTTTTCTGTAATAAATAATCGTAAAATTAAAATAAAGGACACTGAAAATATTTAATGCTTATTGTCTGTCATACAATAAAAACTACTATGAGAGAGAGAGAGAGAGAGAGAAAGAGAGAGAGAAAGAGAGAGGGGGGAGAAAGAGAGGGAAGGGAGAGGCATTCAATACAAGACTACCAGTATCACCCCCGAGTTTCAAAGTAAGATCAAGTTCAGATTCAAACATCATACCAACTTTGCGGGGGGAACTCTTGTTAAGAGCATTCTGTGCAATCAGCTAAATTTTCTGACAAACCTCCTTGAGTAGCTTATTAGTTAATTACCCCCTAGAAACTCATGGAGGGGTGTCAGACATTTAAACTGATTACAGTGATTGCACTTTGGGAGAATCTCCCACAGAGCTAGGCACCGTTCACATGAAAAATCTAAATTCTAAAAATCTAAAAATCCATTGGTGGTATCTAGTGATCACGGTCTGTGCCCTGAATACCCCACGGCGTAATTAACTAGCAGAGTGAGTGAGTTACTTCCAAAGCTGTAATTAATTCTCAGCTGTGCTCGGAGGAGATTCTGGCACCTTGACGCATGCGCAGTAGTATCTCTAAACTGCGGAGTTCATCAGATTGCACTCATGTCATGTGTATATGGACCTCATCTTCTTTGTCTTGTTGTTGCACAAAATCGACAAACGCATTTTTCAAAGCAACCACGACTGCCATTTCTTTCTCTCTAACTTATTACTGCGCATGCGTCAAGGTGTCAGAATCTCTTCTGAGCGCAGCCAAGAATTAATTATAGCTTTGGAAGTAACTCTCTCGCTCTGCTAGTTAATTACACTGCGGGGTATTCGGGGCACAGATCGTGATCACTAGATTCCGCCAATAGATTTTTGGATTTTTTGAATTTAGATTTTTCATGTGAATGGTGCCTTAGATCCATCTGGGTAGTACGATGGGTTTATTTGAATGCACCCTACTTGTGACTCTTTCTCCACTGCAGTAGATGAGCACTGGCTGCACATGTGAAGAATGATCTCAAGGTAACAAATAGACCATACAAGACTGTGAAATTAACATCAAAACTTTCTTGCTGTGATGAATATTAAAGGAGAGTTTGTATGTGGGGGTGCCCATATCAAACCATGTGGGTATACACAGGCCCGTAACCAGCAATTTCAAAAGGGGGGGGGTTCTTTTTCTGAAAAGTGGACCTTTTTCCATAAAAACTTCATATACCTAGATCAAATTTTACCCAGAGTGGACCTCTTCCCAGCAAAAGGGACGTTTTTTTCAAACCCTCAGAACCCCCCCTGGCTACAGGCCTGATACACGTATTCCTTGTATGAGTTAAAGTTTGATATGAGAGGTTCAAATAGTCTCAGCATCTAAAGGTGGCCCACAAATCTGTCTGCATGAGTACTCCCTTCCACCTACATTCTGATTTGGGTCAATTTCAGTGGTTGCATCCCACATACCGACAAAAAAGGAAATCATTTCTTAAGAGACTTTAAGTCTTTTACCTATGAGGCATGACATTTTGAAACCTCATCACAGGATCAGTCTTGAATAGAGGTCCTATTATGAAAGGATGAACATTGTGTCTCACAGGTAAAAAAACATTTAGTCTATTCAGAAAGAGTATAATACCAATCTGTTCAAGAGGGCAAACTAATGCTGTTGACATAGCTCCAGGACAGCACTGTTTTTATTTGCCTCCCAATATTTATAAAAAAATTACTTTTTATACCCTCTTTCTTTACACAAGTGACATGAAGAAACTATTCTGTTGAATCTACATACCCTCCTCCAATTTTTTCTTCAACCATAAGTATGCTACTGACAGACGCATGGTGGAGAGCTTATCTAGTGTGGATATTACATTGCTGGAAAGGGGCAACACTTTTTTCAACTTCTCAAGACCATCATTTTCTTTATCCCTCCTGTCCTTGGCATTCTTTTTGGCTTTCTCAGCCCTAAAATATAATAATAGTAAATTAAAGAATTTACGTTAGAAAACTTATGTATAATTTATAAATATTTTTTGTTAATGTTGTGTTCCTAAGTGAAATGTTGTCATATCTATAGATGTAGCAGTGTATCTTGAAAAAAAATCATTGGTGCGGATAAGGCAAAATACAGGTCATAAACCAGGATGCATATATTATTATTAAAAAGGCAAAACAGGCGCATGCCCCGTTAGAATAACAAATCATGACCTACTGGAAGAAAATGGTACACGAATTTCACATTGACCCAGATACAATGTTTTTAAGTCTTAATACTTAGAGAGAAAATAAAGACTAAAGATTTTTTATTACGAAGTAAATTATGGGACACGGCTGGATCAGCACCAAAAATTTTCAGCTGACTTTAGCAATAAGGAACTTAAATGTCTAGAATGTTCGCACCATGTCCCATTATTTAAAAGTATAAAGGATTTAAACAACATAAAAGTGCACCTCACAGTTTCAAATGACAATTGGATCAATTTGCATGATACTTAGTTCTAGCATAACTTACTTTGGAGTGCCAGTCCAGCCAGGGTGATATCTCATCTTGCGGATCCTGGAAAGAAAAATAATTAACCTGTGTTCTTTAAAGTGTTCCAAAATATATTTTTTTTTGAAAATAACAAGGAATAATCTAGCTGTCACAGAACACACACCACTTGCAATATCTGAAACTAAGTCTAAGAGCCCAGATTGCTGCCACTGAAAAATATGGCAAAGGACAATGACATTATTCTAAAAAAATTAGAGTACCTGAATTCACTTGAAACTGCAACTGATTCTTTCCCTCTTGAGTAACTGCCTAATCTGAAAATGTCACTAAGATCTGAAGGAAACTTTCTGAGATAGCGATTCTGTCGACTGAGAAACAGACTTTTACAAAAGCCTATGAAAATACTGCCTCCTTTATTAGCAGAGGCCAGTATACCATCACTAAGCACCTGTCAGTGTCCTGGTATGCTGTGATACTAAAATTGAAAAGATGAAAGTAGTCTTCTTCCTTCATTTGCATCAGTCAGAGATCCCATGACAACTAAAAAGTGCCAATCAGGTCTGTTCCTTTCCCTGACAGTCCATAAATCTTAGAGGTAAATGTTGTACACATTTCAAAGTTTTTTTACCTAAATCTAATTTAATCTTTCAACATTCAAGTCATGTAATGTCAATACAAAATTTAAATTAGTTCTATATTATGCTTGGCTTGTTCGACATAACATGCCATTCATGTAATGGTACTGCTGTGAGATAATGTGTATAATTAAGGAAAAGGTGGAATCTCTTTTCTTTTTCTTTTCAAAGTCCCTAAAGGAATAATAAAAATAATGGCATAAGTACATTTTTTTCTTTTGGCATATAGAGGCATTCATGTTGAAAACTTGTTTGGTATTAGAGATGCAAGAGCCTGCTTTAATCTAGGGATCGCTGGCCCTGTCATGATATTGAGATGTTATAAATCCAAGGTATTTTGGCTACTGTTTCTATTTTCAATGTTCATTTGCCAAATATTCGCTTTAAAGACAACTGTTGGAAAAAAATTAAAAACTTTCAAGAAACATACTGATTGTTGAAAATTGAAGTTAATGTCCGAGTGGTGATAAAGTATTACTAGTAAGTACATGGATTCATAACAGCATGCATTTCATCCAAAGTGCTTACCTGCCTTCACTATTTGACTTTGTATTTGAGCAGAAGAGAGCAATAGCACTTCGCCAATACTGTCACTATCACGCTAGTTGGCTTTCAGATTTATCATCAGCCAAACAAGAAGACAAGTCTGAGTATTGATCCTCTGATTTATCAGAGTCAATGATTGCAGACTACACTTGATGGGTCACCAAGAATTTACGGAATCTACTTTTTATTATCTTTGTCCATTCATTTTTCAAATTTATTCAAATGATCCTTTACTTTAACTCTTGTAATGAACATTATTGTTTTCAAATGGCATTTTTTAGCCAATTTTCTCAGTATACTGAAACCTGAAAACTCAGAAGTGACTGGCACTACTGATGACAATTAATATCTATTGCAGACTTAAGTGTAGTAAAATAATTCATCTTTTTATTTTTATCTATTGCTGTCAACTAAAGATGCTTGTCAAATAACTTCTGCTCTCACTAGCATAGAAAAGGAAGGTTTTACTGATGCCATATGTAATTTGAATTCCCTAAATAAAATTAACAGACATATAGTAAATTAACATCCTTACCATTTCATAACTTCACTTTTTGATAATAACTTCATAGTAATTGTCAATAACTATAATATATTTGCTCTAGGACCATGTTCCCTTCTATTATATTTTATATCTTTTATCTACAACAATAACCAATCTATATTGAATTATACACTATGGCACAGCTTATCTGCTGCAGGCATGGGGCATCTATTTACATCTCTCAGGACCAGGCAAATGGGGTTAATAGATCACCATGAATAGTCCATGTAATCTGGTTTTCTCATTTTTCATTGATGACTTTCAGGTACTCGTATTTGGCCTTCCTGACAAGGACAGATTGTGACTCATTTTCCTATTCTTATACATGATCTTGAAGTAACAAGTCCCAAAAATGTCATCCTAAAAAGATGGGAGGGATTGAAAGGGAGGGTTTTGGTAATACATCAGCTAACTAGTAAAAGGAATGTTGGCAAGAATGCATAACTATAAATATACAAGTACTTGTATTATAACTCCTTGACATGGAATATTCTTTTTTTTTCACCACTGCAGTATAATTGTGACACCACTCTTTTAATACTTGTCAACCTCTACTGAATTACCAATTTTTATGCATTTTTGCAAAATATTACAATCAATTTATCTCCTAGATAGACATCCAAAATGCTTGCTCATACTTGCCATGTCATCATTCGTCTGATAAGAAAACTTCCTAAAGGCAAAGGTTACATGTTTGTTAATGTCACAAAGTCATTTTTTTCACCTGTTCTTTTTTTCTCTGTAAAGCTACTTATCTTTTCCAATTCAGACATAAAAAAACAATAAAATCCCTCAAATTAAAGTTAATTCTGAGCCTACAAACTTCACAAGGTCTAAAACCTTAGCTTCCCACAACTTTATGCAAGAAATAAAATTGCAGGATACCTTGTAACAAGGAAACAAAACATCGACCTTCACGTGCAGTGACAGTTCAAGCAATAATTCCTCAGTAAGAAAAAAAATTCTCTAGGCAAATCAGACAGTGAATTCGATTTGGTGCAAAAATACTGTATCACAGAATACCATTATATGACTAAAATAGAATTATGGTAGAGTGAATTCAATATGCCAAATTTTAAGTAATATGCCTGTTTTTTCTTATATCTATTCTAAAGTGAAAACATCAGCCAAATAAGGCAATATAACCAATCTACTGGATTCAGCCCTATGGTACAGCTCATCTGTTAAGGGCAACGGCAAGGGACATTAACCTATATTATAACAAGGCAAGCTGGGTTAATGTTTCCTCACGTCATCTGGTTTATTCATCTTCTGTGGTGGCCTCTAAGTAACCATATATAATAGACCATACTTACAAATGAGCATAACATCATAAAACCATTGTAAAAGCTAAGCAGATGGGATAGGAGGGGTTTTTACAATACTTAAGTACAGGGCACCTATTTTAAGGCATTGAGTGTTTTTCCCTTTTTTCATCACTGCCATGTATTTTCAAAAGGGAATTTTTCCCAAAATATCAACTTTGAAGGGATATCCCTTATTTTTCCTTTTCTACCACTGCCATGTATTTATGATAAAGACTTTATAAATAGATCAACTTCTTAAGCACGGTATTTTCCCTTTTTTACTGCTGCTGTGTATTTACAACAAATTGTCAACAATGCTTTGAGAACACACGGTTCACAGAAATAAGGAAGTTTTTTCTCTCACACCCATTCTTTCCTTTTGAAATGCAAGCAAAACAGATTTCATCTATTATGTGCGATCAGAATATGGCTGACACACCTATTCATGAAATTGTTTAATATTTAAAAGTTCAATTGCAGTAATTACTTCAAATTTTCAAACACCTCACTTATTTTTAATATAATTTTTCAAGGTCTAACAATTTAATTTCTCATAAAAATCTATTTTCTGACAAAAAGCAAAATATCTTTTCAAATCTATTGAATCAATCACTTCATATGATACTAACAAGAACATTGTTTGGTGGAAATTTATCTTTGATTTTGTTTGAATTCAACGATGAATTACCATACACACACTTGTTGCCAATACAGTAGTTACTTAACCTTGATAATTGGCAGAAATTATCAAACTTTCAAATACAAATTTTAAAAATCACAAAAATTATTTCTATATGGCATTTGTGTTGCTTTCACTGCAGAGAATAAAACTATAGAGTTGCCTGCTTTTTAATTTTGTTACTACTGCTCAACAGGAATGTTCTGATTATAAATTATGACATAAAAAAATACAGTATCTGTAAAATTAACAATATTCCCCAACAGAAAAGATAAATTAATTACAATACTACTGAAGGGAAATGTTACATATGACACTGAAATAAATCTCATTAGTATCCTATTGATGATTTTGTGCCCAAATTACAATTTAAAACCTCAAATTAAAATTTAAAAGCTAGATAAAATTATTAGAGGCAAATAAAGAGGCTAATATTATTAGAGGCAAATAATGGTATTTTGTAAGAGGTATCAGAATTAAAATCACACTAACTGGATCTATAAGTGAACTCTTCAGGATGCTTGCAGTTACCAAAGGACTGAGTAAATATAGCTTCAGATCCCGATTGAAGTCAAAATCAGCCTTAGCTTAATTGTGTCAGGGATCTCTAGTAAATGTATCTTAACTGGCTTTGAATATCTCTTGCGATAGCACGTTTGTTAGAACTAAATCATTTTGAATAATATTTTAAAAAGGATGAATCCTAATGCAAGGACATGTCAGTCAAGGATTTGTGATTAGCCAAGAATTCCTTTTTTATATTTTTGAGGAAAATAAATTTGGCATGTTAATCCTATATAAAGTACCTTTAATATGATTTCATTTTGGAATGGTTTTAAAAGTAATGAGTAAGTCAGAACTGCAAGTAGATTTCACATTTATAATTATTTATACATGCAGAGCCACGTGCCAGTACAAGCCATACATTAATATTTGATAATGTCATGTAAGCCCGTCTTTCTAGTATTGTTTATAAGCACAGAAGTTATACTGTCTAGGCTTCAACATCAAGTATACTTCAAAGTGTGTCTGGCGCCCCATTCAACTAGATACCATCAGTGAATCAACCCAGCTTCGAGGGGACTGTCCCTGAATGCAATCAGTTTAACAGGCCTCCTCATGGATATAGAATATAGAAAAATCGGTTATTATAGGACTATGTTGAAAACAATTAAGAGGAGGTGTGTCATTCAGTTAAGCTGATCGCACTCAACAAGAGTACCCACAGAGCTGGGTCAATTCTTGTAGACCGATGATGTCGATGGGAATGGGGTCTATGACAGTTTACCAGTGTGCCATTACTTAATAATTCAAGAAATGTACCTGATACATGTAGCAAAATAATACACAGTCTTAGTAAAACTCCAATGCACAGTTTCTAATAGACATGGCAGTGTTTAACAAAGACCTTTATTGACGTCATGTCTACATTGTCATTTAAATCTGTTTCTATAGTAAACACAAGTTGTGCTACTTTTGGCCAATACGGCAATAGGCAAATAATTTTTAATCAAACTGAACAGACCTTGAGAATTAATTAAGTACCTCTCAAGGTTAATTCCTCAAGACAATTAAAAGAATCTGATGATATATTAAATATGTAGATCTACAGCATTCAGTATCAAGAAAAACAAGTCATCGAAACCACTGCGACGGCGACAACGACAACAAACTTCCTTTTTCTTTCATGATTGCGTCATTGACCGATTTGCAGCACAATGTACGCAGTGTCTTGCACAGGTCTTTAAAAGTTCACTTATGAACGGAATCTGACGCTGACTGAGCAAAATCAGCAGCAGTACTCTTTTGTCCTTATCTTCTAAAAGTCGCAGATAACATCTTACTCACCTGTGAACCGCTGGCATTATAGAAAATATCTTGCTCTTCGCAGTAAATACCAAGCGTTGTTTGTCTCAGTGCAGTTGCACTGTGAGGGTCGTAGACTTAGTAAAATCGGGTCATGTCAGGTCAAGTCACGTGCTCCTAAACAGAAGCGTGTCAGCGTGACCCTGTGTTACCTCAAAAGAATAATTTTATGCTTTCACAATTCTTGCTTAGTTTGCAACTACTTAAGTATCAGTCACTTCTGTTTTGAACATTATAAACGGAAGAAACGTCACTTACTCAGGTATCTTTTAAAATTACAAAAGAAATACTTTTGAGTGGTTTGTCTTGAATCATCGCGCCATCTTCAGTTGCCCAATGCAGTTGCATGATGAAAACATGTTGGGAGATACAGATAAGTATCTGAACAGTGAAATAATGTAGTAAATAAATATTTTTAAGCAGCGGAAGATGGCCGCTTTGGAGGAATCTCTGACGGAGCGACAGGAAAATGAGCTGCAAGTATGCAACTTGTTACTGGCTTTGCCTTTATCGAACGTTTTCTTACTGAATGGTTGGAGATAATATTATTGAACTTCTGTAAAGACGGTGTGGCGTGATAGACCCGTGCCGTGACGAAACCGTTCTGCACATGCGCATTGAGGGTAGATTGAAAGAAGTAACTTCCGGTATGACGATGTCGTCCTAAGTAGGCGCTATGTTTGCACTGACCTATCATCTTTCAATTCATAATTCAGTGGTTTTCGTCATGAGAGAGTATGTATTTGATAATCTTATTACTACAGTATACGGGGGAATATTGGAAGTGAGCTTTTGATCGTGACTGAACTGTTTTGCTCTGTGTGCAAAATGTGGTAGATCTAAGACTCACGCTACAATGTTCTTTCAATTCAGAGTACAGTCATTTTCATTAAAAAGAAATTGTGTGTTTGATAATACTACAACTTTCTCTACGGGGAAACGTTGGAAATGCATGTGCAGCTACGAACTGTAAGTCAACAGACTGCTAACCCCGCGTGAATAATCCGTCAGAACGGTTTATTCACGACGACGGTTTCTTCACGTGACAACGGAATTAAACTCGATCAGATATAAATATATATCATTCCAATATATGCAATTTCATATATGCATTGTTATGTGTAGATCGCTAAAATATATGGCGCACAAAGTGTTTGAAATCGGAAGTGCACTTTTCCATCTCCACGTTTTTACCTTAACAATGTCAATGATTTTTTAATTGAGAGTCTGAAAGATATAAAGAAACTTTGGTGGAAATGGCTTTCATTTGTGGCTACTACTCTTGGTAGGAACATCTCAGTTTTCTCGCAGCCTCACACATTAACATTAATTATGTCATGTGCTGTTGAAAAAAGAAACAATGACCTAGTCCCTGATGGTATAAAGACATTATAGCAATATTGTATTTTCTAAGGCAACACTCTTGTGATAACATTATTAATTTTCTTTTCTTATTTTCCTTATCTAATTGATGTTGATTGTTAAACGAAAAATATCTCAAAATATGAAAGAAAGCAGAGTCAATAAACATATGGTTGTTTTAGGTGTTGCAGGCAGTTTTTATGGAAGATTTCAAAGACTGCAGGACAAAAGATGCTTGGAAGGTAATAGACCAGCATTGAATACAAATTGGTTTATAATACTGATATAACAAAGATATTAAGTAATAAAATGAAATGAAACTTATAAATATATGTCAATGTTAAACTTGTTTGTTAAAGTGAAGTTTAAAAACATCCCATATAACTTTTTTAAAATCAGATATTGTTAAAATTGTATTCTATCATACATATAGTTGCAAAAAGCTTCTTGAAAACTTTCCAGTCATGTTTTCATGTGTAAATATGCATAAACCACACATATATAATACAAATACAATACTTGTATGAATGCATGCACATTTGTGTACCCACATACATGCATGTGCACACACCCAGGCATACATACTCCCCACACACACACACACACACACACACACACACACACACACACACACACACACACACACACACACACACACACACACACACACACACACACACACACACACACACACACATTAAGTGTTTTTATCTGTATATATATTAGGTACACAGGCCTCCAGAGATCTGTCTCCGGCTTCTGCCCCAGCAGAGTATGGGTAGCACTCAGGTATATGTGCAGGTGGAGCTAGTGATTAAGTGTACAGAGAACTATCCAAATGAGTAAGTAACTAAAGGAATCCTGTCATGATATCAAATTAAAACCAAATCAGTTTTTAGAACATTTTTTTTTCATAATGTTATTAAGAAACCAACTCTTTTTATCGTAATGGAAGTCCTGTCTTTAAGAGTTAATGTTGTATTTAATTAATGTTATTGTTTTTCTTGAATTATCAGTTTATAAAAGTATCTTATCATTTATTTTAATGATGTAGTATATTTTTAAAAAGGCAAAAAATTTTCTTTGCCATTTTTATCCATACCTAGAAAAAATCTGTGTATCATTTAAATTGTGTTTTTATTATTGAAAATTTAAGATTGTATGTTTTCAAGAATAACTTATTGAAAAGGATTTAGCTTCATTAACATAATATATAGGGTTTAACATATTGCCTTATCTCATTCATACAGAGCACCACAGTTAAGGTTAGAAAATGCAAAGGGGTTGTCCAATCAGCTTGTTCAAGAACTCCAGGGTGAACTAGACTCAAAAGCCCAGGAATTAATTGGAGAGGTAAATGTCATTGTCTTTATTGGTTATTGACGCTATATTTGTTAGGAATTTATGTTTCAATATTTGTTACACTTATTATATAAAAGAAATACTATATATTTATAAATAAATAATTATACATGACATAGAATCCTATGGAAAAAAAGCCATCAAAATAAACATTTTCGTAAATCAAACAATGGGGAATTTGTGGGTAAGAACAGACACATTCCAATGTCTAAACCACAGCATCGTCTGACGTGACTACAAAGAGATGTGTATTGCTCTAAGCAGAGCTAGATATTGATGTCATGGCACACTCATCCACATGAAGTTTTTTTCAGGTAATGGTACTAGAATTGGCCCAACATGTCCAGGATTTTCTGCACAAACACAACAGGCCTCCAGCAAAGTCTTTCTATGAGCAGATGATGAGCAATAAAAAGGAACGAGAAATACAGCAAGCCATCGAACAAAAAAAGAAAACAGATTTGCTCAGGAAAAAAGAGGAAAAGGAGGTAAGGATGTCTAGAGATGTAATGTAGTTTATGTAATGTGTTTACCATTTAGTTTTATTTTTAACACAGATTTTATTTTGCTTATGGTACCAGTGGAGTGATTTACCAAATTAAAAGAGCTTTTTCGAACTTGAACAAGAATTTTTGTTGTTTTACAAAGTTATAAAAATGTTTCTGATGTGATTCAAAAGTAAAATTTTACCGTAAATGTTTTGATAGTAAAAATGATTACTTAAATGTTTCAGAAGCAACAGTTAGAGGAAGAAATCCAAAGAAGACAGGAGGCAATGAGAGCAGAAACCAAAAGAAGAAAAGAACAAGCAAAAGAAGTGAGCAATTTTTTACAGTACATTATTTTTCAAATTGTTAGCACTTTTAAAACCTTAAAAACTATTACCCCATCTTGTGCAAAAATAGTCAATTTTTACATGGTTTTCTTGACATGTTTATTGGATTTTGTTCTAGCAAATTGAGGTCAAATCAGAGAGAGCTTCATCAGAGCCCCCAGATCCAAGCACTCCAAACACAGAGTCTACCCGTATGACACCCATTCCCATGGACAGCGAACAGCGACAACGTGCCCGCGCCTCTGTGTCTCCAGTAGGAAGCCCTGTCAAACAGAGTTATAGCAGAGCACCTGTAGACAACAATGGTAGTTATCAGAAAGAAAGGAAAAGGTACAGTGTTCTTCTGTTTTTAGGGTTATGTGATGGCCTTTGTCTTGGTATGAATATGTATTTATTGTATTGTATTATATGTAAAATCTCCATGGTGGCTGTTACTTTTCAGTCAGTCTAAACTCCCTCTACCGAGCATTTTATGAGAAAGCTTGAAATAATTATAAAATAATTAAGAAAATCAGATGCACAGTCTTTTTTCTTTTGAATTTGTTGCTGATTTGGTGATAGAAAAGATTAAATCCCAGATAAATAATACGTTATGATTACCCAATCCTTTGTATATATTCTTCTTTTGTTCTAGATAAATTTTAACTGCTATCAACAATGGGAGTAGTTTTGCTTAAGAGGCATTCACTGCATGTTACATATGCATCCTTTTATTTCTTTCCTCTAGGCACACTAGCACTCCAAGAGTTCGTCAGAGCAGCTGTGGTGAAAGAAGTGAATCATCAGAGGAACACTGCACATTTCACACAGGAACATCTGTTCTTGCCTTCAGTACTAAGGGAGAGAGGACAGTGCACAGGGGGAAATGTCTAGGTATATCACTCTGAAAATATGTATTAATTCTGAAAACATGAGGCATGCATATTGACTTACAGTTAAAGTCATAAGTAGTGGGATGTGTTTGAATAATGGTAAGAACTTAATTCTACCAAAAATTGGATGTATTTTGCTTGAAAATTTAGTAAAAATAGTGGGAAAGAATTTAAAAGGTGAGTTGGGTGCTCGTTAGAAAGTAAGGTTTTTTGAGTGACTAAAAATGAATAGGATTATCTTGAAGGTACTGTAAGCATTTACTACACGTTGTTTAAAGGTAAATGTGAACCCTTAAAGTCATTTTCTACATTCAGGTCACAGTCCTAAAGGAAGCACAGTGTATGCTGGGATGGATACGAAAACTGGAGAGCTGGTCACTGTGGTAGAGTGGGAGCTGAAATGGTGGCACGTAAAAAGAAAACTGGATGCAGACGACAAGGAGAAATATGAAAAGGAAGAGGCAAAATTTATGAAACAAGTGAGGAACAGATTTTATATACGATTGATTCTGTAAAATGAGTTGGATTTTGAATTAAAGGCTCATACTTTAATGTTTAAGTAGATTTTTAGTGATAAATTGAAAGATTTAGGTTAGCCATTTTCTTAAAACAACATGGTGTTCTGAATCTTTGTTCACACCCACTTATACAGCAAGGTTTTTGAGATATGTAAAATATCACTGATCACATTCGATTACTCAATTTTGACCAGCTTACTATTTGAATTTTTTAGGTTTCCAGTATTGAAGCTGAGCTACATTCCATGTTGAGGTTACATCATGAAAACCTGATCCACTACTTAGCTATGAATTACCAGCAAGAAAAGGGCAAAATCATTGTTACTGTAGGTAGACATTAAGATTATAGCAGTAAAATTTACCTTTCTTGCAAAGCAAAAGAGGCTTACATTGTTGTAGATTTTAGAATTTCATTTTTAGCCAATTTTAGCATTTCCATTTTATAGCATGTTCACCATTTCCCATTTTTAATTATAGAAAATAACAGTGTTTGAATTTTCAGTCAAAACCTGATAAAAGCTTAGAGAATTTTCTATTTACTATTTTTGATAAAAGACATGCTAATGAATATATCCTTAAATAATTTAAAGGGGAAGGTCACTTTCTAATATGATAACTTTCAAACATTTATATTAATTTTCTTCACGTGACATTGAATGTCCTTGTAATATTTTGTAGATGTTGACTGAATATGCTGGCGGTGGTAACTTGGACACAAATTTAAAGAGACACATTCCAGTGCCAATTGATGTACTTAAGCAATATACCACAGACCTGTTAGAATCACTGGCATATCTCCACAGTAAAGCAGTGGTCCATAAAGATTTGAGGGTGAGTTCTCATAGATGGATGAAAAAATATATATATGTATTAGCATAAAGTTTACAGTATTGATACGAGTGTCTGCTTTAACTTTTTTGACAGATATCTTTTACTATTTCTTGTGCCTGTTTTTTGCGAGCGTGTGCATATATGCAGTGTGTGTGTGTTGACAGTAGTGCTGATCTCTGTTATGGCATGCTCTTAAAATTGTCTTTGCAGGCATCTTGTGTGTTTTTGGATAGTAAAGGAAGAACAAGAGTGGCTGACTACAGCTTAACAAAAAGGTAAAGAAAGGAACAAATTCTTTCTATCACAGATATTCTCTTTGTGTATCAAGTCATTTATTTCTTATTCTGTTTTCTTAGGGAGAACATGCAAAAATGTCTTAAAATAAATTCAGTTAATTTCTCATTATTACCTTGGTCTCTGTTGCTGTTTTAGACTGGCAGATCTTTATGAAACTGCTGACATAGAAAGAGGAGGGGTACATTTTATTGAAAACAAAACTCAAAGTCATGGAAGGGGTGGAAAGAAAGGAGACATTCATGCCCTGGTAAGTTAAAGTGTTATATTTTGAAAATATAACATATCATACTAAAATATGTTCAGAAAGACTTCTTTAGATTGATATTTGAATGCCATAACATATCTAGCCATTCTCATCCTGCCTATTATCTTTAAATATAATTTTTTTCAGGGGATATTACTTCTGTCTCTTGCTGAAGGTCATCAGATCACACAGTTTTGGCCAGAAGTCCCAGCAACACTACCAGGAGATTTTCAGGACTTCATCACGAAGTAAAAAGGATTTTTTTATTTGAAACAAATTTTATTTTCTTGTTCGTTATCTATTGATCTGCACTTAGTTTAACATTTTTACTGAATTTTTACTAAGCATATGCTCTTAAGATATCTACCCACAATAATCATACATATCAGATGTCTACTTACAATCATTTGTTGTACAACCACTTGTTATGGAAATATACTATTAAGAAACCTTTCATTTAATGTAAGCATCTGTGTGGAGATAATTCTGAAGCTTCAATTTCTTTATTGAAGTGTAATTTGTGAAAAATTTATAAGAAACAACATTAAAACTATCCTTTCATGAAAATTTGATAATTCCAGGTGCTTGTTTAAAGATGAAAAACACCGTTGGTCTGCATTCCAGTTGTTGGACCATCAGTTTGTAAAACCTGCTGTTTACACCACTTCATTACAAGTGGTTGTAAACCAAGATTCTGAGAATGCTGGTCAAGGTGAGAGGGGAATAGGCAAAAGCTGCTTTCACAGTTTTTTCCAGAAGAAAATGAATGTTGTGTAGGGAAAATACTGTGGAGTGGCATTGTTTTTTTCAATTTTTATCAAGCAACAAAAATACTTATTTTTTTATATTCTAAGATAAATATAATAATAATAAAGATTATGATGATGATAAGAAGAAGAAGAAGAACAATAATAATAATAATAATAATTCTGATGATGTATATTTATTGCAAGTCATCTGTTGAATTGTACAATGTAAGTTTTTAAATAAATTAATGTAAAATATGTTTAATATTTTTTTATATTAAAGATATAATGGGTATAATAAAACTGATTCTCTTGATTCCTGTACATTACAGCTGCCAAAGCAGTGGACAGTGATGATGATATACTTGATGCAGACTCTGATCTCCACATCTTCACCACCTGTGACCCCTCGGGTCACTCAAGGCTGTACAATGAATTTGAAATCTTGAAGGCATTGGGAAAGGGTGGCTTTGGGGATGTTATAAAAGTAAGTTGCAGGTCTTGTGTAAACCAAAATCATTGTGGTTGTTTGTAACACAACATATTACAGGAGGACTGCCTTATTCTTTTACTTTCTGCTAAAGTTTTAGGTAGACAAGATGATTTAGTTTAATTTTAGGTTCTAGGTTTTTCAATTTTACTGAAAACTTTCTCGTGTCATTTTGTTTAATGTATAATTGTTTTGGGCACTTTAGTATGACATATTGAACATGCACAAGCGTATGCATTGTAGGCAAAGATGTGATTTATAAATTATGAATAATATTTTTAAGTTAGTCACTTTAAAACTGGTATTCATGTATAAGAACATCATCCATCCTTTTCCTAGGTTCGCAATAGGCTAGATGGCCGCGTGTATGCTATCAAGAGAATCCCTCTTAATCCAAAAAACAAGCAGCTCACCAGAAAAATCACAAGAGAAGTCAAACTTCTGTCCAGACTCAACCATGAGAATGTTGTCAGGTAGAATTATTTTGTCTCTGTCCACATCATTTAATGCTCATTCCTCCCATTACTCGGGACAGTGTTTCAATTCAAGGGCCTGTGTCAAAGAAACTGTCTAGCTCTTAAATTGGCGTAAACTTTGAGACCAAAATTTAAGTCCACTTTGACCCAAGATAAATTCCTTTAATTGTTACATCTGTTTTATAGTAAAAAATTGATGGCTAATGGTTCCGACCAGTACTCACTTTTTTAAGTAGACTAGTCTGGAACTGAAGTAAAAAGACTTGGCATAAAAAGTTTTATTGTAAAATTTGGCCCCTGGTTTTGGGCTGTTTGACATGATTGGAACTTTTTCCCGTTCTTGACAGAACATTCCTCTGTAACCGTTGTTGTAAAATGGTTCTGTTTCAAGGCCACATTTCTTCTGATTTTTTGCTGAGGGTTCTCTGAATCCTAGCACAATACCAAGGTTTATATAAAAATATCAGTGTTAATCAATGAAAGTATATTGATAAAAAAAATCACTGTAATCACTATAAATTCAGGTATTACAATTCATGGATAGAGACGAGCAATGAGCCAGTTCAAAGTGAGTCCTCATTATCAAGCAACAGTACACCAAAGACTGCCACCATCTCAACCATCCCTACAAACTCCAGTATTAGAAATAAATCCCTGGGTCTTGGTATAGACATGGATTTTGATAAGAATGTCCCACCCCCGCTGGATGAGTCTGTGGAATGGAGTGTGTCTGTTTCCCATGAGGCACCTGTAGAATCTCCATCATCGTCCTCGTCATCCGAGGATGAGGAAGAGGATAGTGATGTGTTTGGAGCATCTTTTATGTAGGTGGAGTATTTTGAAAATGTTTAATGATGCAAAGAATACTTCTCAAAATAGAGGTAAATTTTGTGTGTGTGTGTCATTGATTTAGTAATTAAAATAAATTTTAAACAAGGAAGGATTTTATTATGTTTTATTCATTAACATAAGCATAAAGGGAAACATTACTTGCCCACCCTTATTTGCCTGTCTCTTTTTCAAGGCCTTTCACTGACTCAGATTCCTCTGACAGTATTGTGTTTGAAGGGACTGTCCTAGAAGACTCGGACACGGAGGTAATTTTGACTGTTTGTATGTAATGCATTCCAATATTATAGCCACAGTGGTTTTGATTTCACAGTTTGCGGATTTTCTGCCAAGTTTTATGTTTAATTATGACTTTTGTTAAAAGTAGATAAAGAAGACCAAAGTTATGTTTTTTTTTTTTCAGGAATCCAAAGGAAAAACTACAGAAGAGAGCAGTGTCAGTAAAGAAGAAGTTCTCAAACTGCAGTTCCTTTACATTCAGGTGGCCATACATAGCTTTTTGATTGTGTTTAGTGATTGAGTGCTCTTTGCTTTTTCCTTTATTCAATTTATTCAATATTGTAATGATTTCATAAGGAGATTGACTATAATTTTTTTCCTTTATATTGGAATGAGATATGTACTTGATATTAATAGATAACTGTCATTGTAAAATGTGTGTAAGTCAGACAACACAGTGTCATCTGTTATGTAACCCAATTAATTGTTATTCACTGTTTTCTGCTTCTGCAGATGTACATTTACAAGCTATGAAAAAATTAAATGAATAAGTCATTAAAATGGAAAATAATTCTATTGGCTTCATAGATGGAATACTGTGAGCGGAGTACCTTGAGAAACTGTATAGATGCTGGTTTGTATCAGGACATGAACAGAGTCTGGAGGCTGTTCAGAGAAATTGTAGAGGGCCTAGTACACATACATGAGCAGGTAACCAGTATATACTGCCCCACAAGATGAGGGCTTTATTTGACATTCACGGATGTATGATTGCCATTTACATTATAACGGCTTTTAAGTTACATTCATGTCTCTATAGGACAAGTTTATTCATGTTTATTTTGAAATTTGTTTGGATATTGTTGACAATTTGTAAAATGGCGTCGTGTGTTTATTATTTTCACGTCTGCTCATCTTTTTATTATCATTGACAGACGTGTTTCTGGACAGTGCTAGTACTAAAAGCACCAGGATTCAATAACATTGTGAAATGCAACATGTTTCTTTTTTTCTTTTAGGGAATGATCCACAGAGATCTGAAACCAGTGAATATATTTCTGGATTCCAATGACCATGTGAAGATTGGAGACTTTGGATTGGCTACTACTGATATTCTTTCTCAGGTGAATTTTGTGAACATACGATTGGTATTTTTGTCAACTGATATATGTACCCTGTTTGCAACATGATTCCTGGAAGTTTTCCCTAAAATATGTGGTCATCTTTATCAAATATAGGAGAGAAAGAAGTGATTACAATTTCAACCATATTCAGGTCTCCTAATATTTTAGTTTTTCAAAAAACATTTTTGACATTTTGCAAACTGAGGCCATTTTCTCCATGAGCTCTATCAGGCCCAGACCTTAAACATGTTTTGAATTATTTTCAATCAGCAAACAAGTCTGCTGGATGTGACCCTCACTTCCTCCACCACATTAGACATCCATGTCAGCTCCTCTCAGTCCTCTGGCTGTGTAGATGACAGCCTCACTGGCAAAGTGGGCACAGCACTCTATGTCAGCCCTGAGATGATGGTCACTGGAGGGAAAGCTAATTATAACCAGGTAACATAAGGGAAATCATAGAAATATCGGTTAAATTATAGCAAAAATAATATTATTATGTTCAATGACAGCACTTTTTGCTTAGACTGAATTAATTGTTACAAAGGGGAGCTGGTTTTAAGTAATATTTGTAAAATTTTATGTCAGGTTTTGTATATAGAGCACGTATAATAAAAAATCAATATTATGGGAAAAAAGTTAAAAGTATGGGAAAATATCAAATGTGATAAAAATGATCATTTGCCTGCTTTTTGTCTAACCCTTAATGCATTCCTAGCAATTGATATGCCACCCGCCGATCATATCAATTTGCTTAGAATGTCAAGAGTTGCATGCACTAGTTCATCATATGAGAGATAGAGACAATAAGCATTTTACCAATATAAATATCTGATCTGATGTGATGGTCAATAAAATTTCGAATTATTAAACATGTCTTGTTGGATTCAGAAAGTGGATATATACAGTCTTGGCGTGATATTCTTTGAGATGTGTTACAAAGCTCTGCCGCTGGGAATGGAGAGGGTCAAGATTCTTGGTCAGCTGCGTCTGCCTGAGATAAAATTTCCAGAAGATTTTGATGAATATGAACTGAAGAAACAGGTACTTGCATCCGTTTGATGGAGTGCATAAATAAAAACTTGTTTTAAAACATAAATTTGTCTTTATTTTGAAAATAATTGAGAAAGTTATGGTGATTTTGAAAAGAAACAAATGTTTAAAGACTAAAATGTTCTACTGCCTATTGATTCCTGGTTGTATTCTATTGGTAATAATAATAATAATATATAAAAATTTAGTGAATTACACATCTGAAGAACTATAACGATTTGGGCCATGTTTTCATTTTCCTGTTTTTTTGCAGACGGAACTATTACGATGGTTACTAAACCATGATCCCACCCAGCGCCCCACGTCCATGGAACTTCTTCAGTCCCCTTACATGCCCCCTCCACAGATGGAAGAGGCAGAATTGAATGAAGTCCTGAGGTCCACAATATCCAACCCACAGAGTAAAACCTACCACAGAATGCTGACCACTTTGTTCTCACAGCCTTTTGATGCTGCCACCGATGTTTTGTTTGATTTTGAAATGCACAGGGATATACACAAGGTAGTTAGTTCAATACCAGAAGCAGCAAAGGGAAACGGCCTCTACCCCTTTTCCTTACTAAATTGTATATTTTGATTCACCCAGTTGTAGCTTAAAAGATTCAAATAAAAATTAAAAATTAAATCTCATAATGGACATTGGGTACTGTGAAAGCAACTGGATCAAATTCTCAGATGATGTTGTTCCCCCAATTCAAAGACCCAGGTAGACATTTCCTAAAATGGCTTTCCTTGAATAATTTCATGATGAAAGTAAAGAGAATCCTTTTAATTGTTCTTGTATGAGTTCCTATATCTTTTCTTACTTTCAGGCACCATTAAAATCAGCCCTTGTCCATCGTCAGATTCGTAGCACAATAGAAAACCTCTTCCAGCGCCATGGAGCTGTGCAGGTGAATACCCCTCTCCTTCTCCCAAAGTGTGATGCATATGGGCAGAATGAGCAGTATGTTTCTCTTATGGACTTTGGTGGGAAAATAGTTGGACTTCCTTATGATCTCAGAGTAAGTGATTTTTATAAATGCAAATTTAATGACATGTACATGTGGTTTATAAATCTTTTAAAATAGGCCTCCTTCACTATGCTATAAAGATATTAAATCAAAACAACATTTGTTATAACTGAAAAAAATCAATTTTATAGCTGCAAAAATTATGAACTTTATGGCAAGATTTAGGTTATATTTTCATAAGATAAGAATCATGGATATTTTTACAAAATGAGATTTGTTTCAGGTTTCATTTGCAAGATACATTGGCAGGACCAATGTGACTTTTATGAAACGCTACAATATTGAAAGGGTGTTTAGGTCAAAGAAAGTGTTTGGATCTCACCCTAAGGAATTGATAGAATGTGCCTTTGATATTGTCACCTCCACCCCAGGAGGGTAGGTGTTGTTCCCATTCATTTACACATTTTCTATAGATCAGTAACAACCATACCAAACTGTACAAATATTATGTGACAGAAATGCAGAAATGTAATTTTTAAACTTTTAATTGAAACTGTTTATTTAAAGATATTTCAAGATATATGTTTAATACTTAATCAATGAAAAACAGTAAATGAGTTGTCACTGACATTTAGATAGCAATTTCTGGTAAACAGCATAAGGATTTTGTACACAGGTCTAGATTGAAAATGAATTAGTATTGAACAGTATTCTACTAATAATAAAAATTTGTAATTAGTATTCATGAAACAATTGTTGATAAGATGGATCATTATATTTCAGCTTGGTGGCAGATGCAGAAGTTATTCATGTTGTGTTTGAGGTCATCAATGAGTTTCCAGCACTGCAGGTATGCACATAAAACGCAGTTTTATAATTATGATAATAATAATAATAATAATAGTATTATTTTATTTGTTGAAGCACATTTTTCCAAACTGCAATTGCAGTAATGACGCACAGTAATGTATAATGAAGGTTAGAAGATTTTAACAAATATACAACTAGCAGTATATAATGGTTTTGTTTTTTGATTCACTTTTCATTGTATTTCATTACTGACTAATCTTTTGTTTGTCTTTTAACTGTTTACCATATTTTCAGGTGCTTTGTTGAGTATAGGGGACAAGATATGTGTATGAAAAAGATTAATAACAACTGTCATTTTGGTTTAAAGTTTATTCACCCAAGTATTCTTATTTTTATGGCATATTTTTCATGATCAGAACAAAGGTTACTACCTACGCATTAACCACACATCTCTGCTGCAAGCCATATTGTTGTATTGTGGAATAGAGGAAGACAAACACGAGCAAGTCTATTCCATCCTCTCAGAAACTAAGGTGGGACATTGCTATGAAATCTGACTAAAAATAGAATGGTTATGTTATGAAATTTACAGAGTGTTAATGCTAAGCATGTCAAAGTAGGTTGCTGCATGTATATGGCAAGATACACTTGAGGTAATTTTTTAATAAATATGTAGATAATAAGAATGAGTTGTTTTCTGAATAATGAATTTAAAAGAATTCTGTTGGGTGGGGTTTTCAGGGGTCTTATCTGTTTTGAAACCACATTTCTAAGTATTAGTCTAATTAAACGTTGAGTTCTTTGACCGCAATGTTGGGGTACAAGTAAATCTTACAAAAATGTCAGACTTTGGTAAAATCAGTGGGTCAGGCATATGATCAAGACCCATTGATGAAGGGTAAAAACATCATGCCTCACTGGCAAAACACATTTTAACTATTTAGAAATCTTTGATTTTTTAGCAATATCAGATTTTCTTTTCAGACTGAGAAGCAAAAAAAACAACAGGTGATGACTCGCCTGTGCAATTTAGATCTGAGTGAGCAGACAGTATCGCAGCTGTGTGACTTTATGCTGGAGACAGAGGGACCATACAGCAAGGTGTCCAGTGTGCTAAAAAGAATCACTAAAACACGGGGACCAGTAAGTTACACAGAGATTTGCTTTCTTAGTGAGCGAAATAAAAAAGTTTCTAACAAAACAAGTATGGCTTGGTCACCCATGTCATATTTAAATGTTAAGGTTTGAAATTTGAAAGTAAACACTGCCATTGACGTTAAGAGAAAAAAGAGCTTTTTTCATAACTTATATTTTCTTATTTAGATGCACAGGTATGAAAACTTAACAAATGTCTTTGTCAGATCCAAGGTTTTCAGCACCTCCATCATCATGAAGTGCTAGAGTTGAATAATAAATTTTTTTTATTCTAGGAAAGTTATCTTGCCAAGAGAGGACTCCACGAAATAGAAGCTGTTTTGACTCTGTTAGAGGCCATGGGTGTCAAAGTGCAGGTATGTGAACCATTGGTAAAATATTTTTTATACAAAGGTGTAGTTTTTGTGCTAACAAATTATTCACTTCAGGGTACCTGCTACTTTTTCTAACCAGAACAAATGATGTACGCAAATATATGGCTGATTGGAAGAGATTTATTGAATCAGATATTATTCTGGTGAATATCCATATATATAAAGTAAAGATTGCAAGTTTTTTTTTTTTTTTTGTGGTACTTCAACTTGGGCAATCTTCATCTGCATTTGACATATTGCAAATGGATCTTGATCAAACATTGTGCAGGTCACTGTAACATTAGCTTACTGCATATTTCAAATTATAGTTATGCAGATAACTTGCAAGTCATTGTAACATTTACTTACTGACATATTGCAAGCGAAGCTTGATTAGTATCTTGCAGGTCTTTGTAACATTTGCTTACTACATATTTCAAATGAATCTTGACAGAATATCTTACAGGTCACTGTAACATTATAATTTTATAAGCTTACTGAAATATTGCCAATGAATCTAGATGAACCATCTTTCAGGTCACTGTAACACTGGGCCTTCTCTTCAATGTCCACCTGACATCGGGGATTATATTCCAAGTGGTCACTGATGTGAGGAGAAAGAAGAAGACCATAACAGAGGTCCTGGCTGCTGGGCACAGATACGATAAACTGGTGAGCCAATTTTTATTTTTATTATTTTTATGAGTGACTTTACTGCTGTTTATTAGGGTTTACAAATTCAATTTTGCTGAAGTGATTACATATAAGATACCAATATGGTTTTATGTATAACAGAAAATGACTCTCAGTAAATTAGGTGCTGGATTTGCGAAAGCAGCACATCTTATATCTCACAACACAAGATTATGCATTACTAAATCAACACAAAATGTTGATCAAAATTTATGAATATATATTAATATATTTATCAAATTAAATCTCCATGCTTCAGTAAGTTAAAGAATGTTACCATTTATTTATCAAATTTTAGGTGCAAGGTTTCAGGAAGCAGACAACCAGCAGTGTGGCCCATTTGACTCAGGCTGCTGTAGGTGTCAGTATAGCTCTGGACAGGATTGTCACAGCCATGATGGAAGATGAAGAAGTAAGTTTGATTACAAACCTATTGTAATCATTTGTGATGGTTAAATTTATGTGCATTTAATGATTGATTTAACCAGATTTGTAAATGTATAGTTGGAAGTAGTTGTTTTGGTATATGATGTTACTGCTGAAGACATAAGGTTTTTGTTGTTCCTTGTTAGCTTTATTATATGTAATTTACTCAGGTGTGTATTGGTCTGAATTTAAATCTATCTGAAATATGTATTTTATTGTAAATGTTTTTTAGAAAGATAATGAGGTCACAGCATTATGCAGAATAGCTATGATGTTGATGTAGTATTTTGATCAGTTTCAGCCATGTGGTGTATATGACATCATAGTTTGTACACTGGGTCACAAGCCTATGATAAAAGAACAGCTGAGCGTAGCTAAGGACTTGTGGGCAGCTGGACTCAAAGTTGATGTTCTTTATGATACTACACAGGTATGAAATTACTTCATATTTGTTTAAAGCCATACACTGAGAACTGTTTCTCTTGACTTTTGAATTGTAAGAAGCATTAAAGTAAAATGCACAAAAGAAAAATTATTCAGTGAAATAGGTTTGCCATTTTCTCCCGTGTTATGATGGTAAAAAATCAAATCTCACAGGTTGAAAAATGTTTAGTTTCTTTATCATGATATTTAGAAAATTTTGCATAATGTTGAGTATTTTTTATTGCATCTTCTTTATAGGGTGTAATATATCAGTTACAAGATACAGAAATATTCAGCCCCCCCCCCCCAAAAAAAAAAAAAAATGGTCATCTCATGACAGTTTCTACCCTCACTTCTCCCCTTATTGGCAATTATATTAGCAAACTTCTAACTTTTACTTTAGAGTCTTGATGCTGTTCAAGATTACTGTAAAGAAAAGGGAATATCATACATGGTTATCCTGGAAAGTGGAAGTATCAAGGTAAGAGTGGGCATTATTAAAAACCCAGTTGGTGTTGGCCTTGATTTTGATGTTGGAAGGAGGGCTAGAGTAATATTCATAAAATCACATATACGCTTTTCATACAAATGAATGTAGCAAAATGTTAACAGTAAGCTTTAAGAAGGTTTTTATTGATTTATTTCATTTTACTATAATTATTTTGTTTTTTTAGGTGAGATCCCTGGAGAAGGAAAGAATTCGAGAAGTTGATGTTGGAGCATTGGAATTAGTTGACCATTTCAAACAAAAATTGTTATCAAAAAGGTAAAGTACAGTTTACAATTGCATCTGTTTTTCATAGGTTTGCTTTTTCAACCTTTTGATAATATTGAAATAAGATTTTTTTAGTAATGATATCAGATTGCAATTTTTTTTTTGTCATGAAATAATATTTTTAGGTCTATTTTAATGGATATTTTCCTATCTGTATCCAAAAAAATGTTAGTTTATAACAATAAAAGTTTGCAATTTATTTTCTATTTACTTAACAAGATTAACTTTAATGATTTAAAGTCATGACTGAAAGACTTCCCACTGATGATTTTAATGAATGATGAATGTACATTTACTGATAATAATACTCTTACATGCAACTTACCTTTACTTAAAATAAGCAGGGCAATACAATATGAACTTGCTCTGCCCTAAATGAAATTATCCAAAATTAATTGTTTGTCTTTGTTAGGAGAGAGAAAACAGAATGTATTTTAGTATTTAAGATATGCATACCCAAAATAATATGAAGATAAGACAACCTGAACTTTTTTACTGCTTATTACAGTGAGGCATCAGATACCAACATGACAATTACTGGCAAGATGAACCTCATCAATTCCCAGAATATAAATGAAGAGAAACCTTCCACCAGCAATTTCTCCAGTCTGAATATTACATACTGGTGCCAGGATAATGCAAAGCCTCAAGGAAATGTGAAAAGGAAGTATGAAGCTCAGGTAATAATGTATGAATTTACATCAAAAGTGCTAATGACTAATTTTGAGGTGAAATGGACCATATGAATACTTCAAAGAGATTTTTGTCTTCACTTAGTGTATATTTTATGTTATTGATGTAACTGAGAATCCCAGGTACATGTACTGAAATATGAATTTTCATCAAAAATTCTGACTTGATGAAATGGACCGTTTGAATATATAGAGATTTTTTGTCTTTACTTATCACTACATGTCACATTATTGTTATGTTTTCTTCTGATATGGGGTACATTGTAATTACTTATTTCTTAGATAAGGGCCAAGTTGACCACTCTGACTCAACAATTGGTCTCCAACAAGGTGAATTGGATAGAAGTGATAGCAGTTGATCTCTCCGCACAGGTGCTAAAGACAATGGCAGCATATCTTGATGTAGGTAGAAAAATTGAGGGGAGGTGGATCATTTGAAAAATAGTTATTTATATAATTTTCAACTTGATTTGTATATTTAATTTCACAGTTCATTGGATTAATCTAACTTCCTGGCAGTTATTGTTATTTATGAAAGTATTGATGGTCTTAGCATATTTGAGACTGTAGTAATTTATGTGTTTCAGTTGGAAGATGACGGTGATGCCTTCAATGCAAGTATTGGTACAGTATTACAAGGGTACGTAACCTGCAATTTATTTGACATTATACCATCATGCAATCAACCTTTTCAACTACAAACGAAATCTTAGGAAATCTTAGGAATTGCCATGTTTAAACCATTTTTTTCACACTGCCTATTATATATTTCAAAGAAATTTATTCACAAATAAGTTATGCCCATTACAGGTAAAACATTTAAGTATTGTGGTTCACAATATCAATACAATATATCATTTTGGTCATAAGTTGATTTATTTATTTGGTTTTTTATTTATTTATTTTGTGTATCTATTAGTATAACCCATTTTGTCTTCCAGTCATGCAAGACACAGAAAGTTTCTCACAAGAGTCTGTGAATACATTTATGAAGTGAAGTTTGATAAAAAGTAAGGATTCCTGTCTCCTTGTTGAATTATAACACAGAAGTATAACATGTATTGATTCCTTCAAAAACATGCAAAGTTGTAAGTGGTTTGTCCAAGCTTGCTCCACCATTTGAATTATGGTTCAGTTGTGAATCCATGTTACTATTTTTAATACATTGATACATAGCAGATTCTTGTATATTTTTTAAAATTATTTTATGTAAAGTCTTTCTACTTCTCAATTTCAGGTGTCCAGTTATTATCCTTTACAGTTTAGTGAATGACTCATACAAGGTCTTGATATGAGATTTAAAGGCAATCAGATAAGAGACAGAGCAAAAGGAACAAAGCAGTCAGTATCAATCCAGAAGTTCTGGAACAAAATATTTGAAAATACATTTTTTCATATGAAAATCATATATAAACTAAATACATTTTATTAGTATCGTGCTAGTAGTGCAGTTATTACATAAGAAAATTGTTTTTCTGCATAAAGAATGCAGTGAAAGCTACTGGTTTGGTGCTTTCTTTTATTTGTTTTATTTCAGTTTCTTGCACAAACTGTGGTGCAAAAGTTCAGACTTTATTATTGTCATTCTGAGTGCAGAGTGCAATAGACCTTGCAAAGACAGAAATATGGATTGCAACCTGGCTTAAAAATTTGAAAAGAAAGGTCAAAAATATAAGTTGATGAATATGTGCTGGAAAGACTGCTTATAGTTTTAGAATGAGTCATTTTAGAAATTCGTCCTACCTTATCTTACCTTATGATAAGTTGAATGTGTCAAATTTATGAATGAAAGGTTTTCATATTCACCTTAGTTTATATCTGTATTGTGGCACTGATTATCATGACCTTGTACAATTTAATATAATATTATTAATGTTATATTACAACCACCAAATATAATTTGGCTGAGGCAATCTTGTGATAAAGAAAATGGATCTGAATTCATTTAATATGTATTTTGGCTGGTTGAAATGGGTAAATAATGGAGGGATGAAACAATGTGATGAGAGAACTTATTGTAAAAGAAGTATAATATCGGTATCTAGTGGTGAGATTATAGGTCTTGCAGCCAGTTATTTGTTATTTTAGCATTAAACTGTTGTTGAATATAAGTTTTTTGTTATTGAAAATAAGTGGAAGAATGATTTTCCATCAACCCCTGTGGGTTGCATAATTAATCTTATAAGAAAGCATCTAAATTTTTCTCATTTACTTTTAAAGTCATCTTTTTTGGTGGAGCTTGAAATACCATAATTCACCATTCATGTCATTAAGTTTTGATTCATGGAACCTGTTGGGGAATAACAAAAATATAGAATTCAGGTGTTAAATCTACGTTATTTTGGATGTTTATAAATCAATGAAATATATAGCTTAAGTATTGTTAACTAAGTGTGGTGTTATGAATCTTATTTACGTCCCACTTATTTTATGTTTTTATAAACGATATCTTTTACTTTGTAGATAAATGCAAATGATCGGTCCAAGTCTCCAGAGGATTTTCGGGGTAATTAATCAACTATCATGTGCTGATTAAGCTGATTTTTTTTTTTTTTTGAGAATCCCCAGCCGCAGAGTTGGAACAACCCAGTTAGTGTGAATCTGAATATGGTCTCAGAGAAAAACGTCTTGAAACAAATTTTATAAGTGAAAGCCTCTCTGATATCCAAGACACTAACTAAAACTAGCATAGAAGATATTTTAATTAATTTGGATTAAAGTAAGATCATTAAATTACGTCTAGTAGCATATTAAACATACAAAAAAAACGGCGGTCCTTCAACCGGTGCAACATTCACAGCCGACGTTCAGAGTGGGTTATGCCGCTTGACTTTTTATGGCAGTATCCATATATTGAAAGTTGGCTCATTTCCATAGTAGGTTATCCGCAACTCCAATCTCTTCTTCCTCAGTTCCCTTAAAAATATTTTTGACTACCGCCATCGGCCCCTTGCAAATCCGGTTTCATGTTTTTTCTTTATTGTCAAAATGTTTTTTTTTTAGTTTGTTTGTTTGTTTTTTCTTGAATAGAAAATTTTAAATGACTGAGTTTGGGGACGGCGGTTATCACCCGGCTTTGTAAAATACATCGTACCATCACAAATGTCCTCTCCATACGCAGTGAACCTAAAGAAAAATTGCACTTTGATAACTAAAGTCATAAGCCAGCCAGCAAAATTGTAAATTTTCCTCTTTTTCGCAGTGTTGGGAAAAGTTGTCCCCGATAAACCATCAGTTCAAACAGCATGACGCCCCAAGGGAATATCAACCTGCTCTCCAAGAAGCTGAACCAGCCATGAGTACCTCTGGAGTCGTGTTCTTGTGGGGGGCAAAGTCCATAAATCGCAACCCATGGATACTCTGCCCAGCCACATTTGCCAGCTGACTCATGTGACTGTATCTGTTCAGTCACTGCTGGTTGGTTCAGTCCATTTCTTAGGAGGTTTCAGTTTCAAATCCCAAGGTGGGTAATCACACACAGTAACAGCATCACCCAGCGTCCTAGGGCTCATTCCCATTGAAACTACTGTTGTACGTAGATCGATTAACACGTCT